GGTTATTGATAAGTTTAAACAACACACAAGTAGGGCCAAGAGCCCACAGTAGCTAGTGCTCATAGGCATAGCACTAGACTAGTTTTTTTGCGTACACCCGCCCCAACGTGGAGTTATGTTTATTGGCTCCTTGGATCCGTTGCAACCCTCGTGATTTTAGTGTAAACTTCACCAAATTTTGCGTCGTAGTTAATATATACAACAACTGACTCGTCATTCGCTTAGTAAAATGAACTGGAGTGGATCATAAAATCACTATCTTTATTACTGTGACGTCCCCTCCAATAGGTCAGGCGTCAGATATGAAAGCTTGATTGCCTTCTAATTTAGCATCCAGCCGAGTAATAATAGAGGAAGAAGTCATAGTTACGGCAACTACGTGAGCAGACTATGTTCCATATCAGATTTTCTGACCTTATCTAATCCATCCTCCCGACGAAAGCCTGAAGTTGCGAAGCACAAAATACAAGAGTAAAAGGTCTAATTTCTCCTATGTTGCTGTAGATTACATGGTATTAATAAGCGGGCTTATTTAGCAGTATAGTATCTGGGAGAACGTCTGTTTAAGGTTTTTATTTGCCATTAGTTGACCGATGACTTCATTTTTGCTTACTCCTCAGAACTAAATGTAACGGAAAGGTCTTCATAGTTATGTTCGCAAATGTAACGCCCAATGAAAAACCATTTCCTCTTTGGCTTACGACGAAAATAGGCTACGAGTCATAAGCATTTTTAACTTTGGAGTGCTGAAACGCATTTTCGGAGCAAAATAACGGTTTAATGTGGTCCTTTCTATCTATCATATTCCCGAAAAAATCTTTCAAATACACAAAATAATTATTTTTCGGCTTGCCTATGAATTCAGGATTCAGAACTATCTGAAGGTACAGTTAAGATATGGCGTTATGGTTATGTCACAGAATTTGTTTAAAATTGTAAACATAAGCATTGCTGTGGTAGATTTTGATTGGCTAAAGTAGTGCCGGTGCCTTCAGTCCAATTGTGTTCCGCCAGGCCTGTGCTTCGCTGACATAAGTAACCGTCGTGGATTGGCGCTCTCACTTCATTGTGACTGTCGGATCATGATCGCGTTATATGTTTTAGTGGCACAGTTATTTGCTCTTGCTAGTTGTGGCGAGCCTATCTACTTTGAGGAGCGGTTCCTGGATGGTGAGTTCATACCTAGGATGCAATCTAAATTTCTGCAGAGTCACTGAAGGGTTGGACGACTTCAGAAGAGAACAAGGACACTTTGGGCAAATTCACCTACGCATCACCTAAAAGCGTTAATGATCCGAAGGAAGATTTTGGACTTAAAACTTCACAGGATGCTAAATTCTACCACATGTCGTCGATGCTCAAGACGCCACTGGACACCAAGGGCAAAGATCTTTGTGTCCAATTCTCTGTTAAGCACGAACAAGATATCGACTGTGGTGGTGGTTACGTAAAGCTCCTCGGTAAGGACTTCGTCCCTGAGAAGTTTAACGGGGACACCAACTACGAAATCATGTTCGGTAAGTTAAAATTTCGGCTGTAATTTTTCGTAGGGCCTGACATTTGCGGCTATGGCACGAAAAAGGTGCACCTCATCTTCTCCTACAAGGGCAAGAATCACCTTATTAAGAAGGAGGTCCCTTGCAAGTCGGACACACTGTCTCACCTCTACACGCTTATTGTCAAACCCGACAATACTTATGAAATCTTGATCGATCAAGAAAGTGCTGCTAAAGGTTCACTCACAGAGGATTGGGATATGTTGCCACCCAAGAAGATTAACGTGGGTTTTTTTTTTCAATTAATACTTTCCTCTACAGGACCCAAATGTTTCTAAACCATCTGATTGGGTTGATGAAGAGCAAATGGACGATCCCGAGGACAAAAAACCCGAGGACTGGGACAAACCGAAAACTATCCCTGACCCAGATGCTAAGAAGCCTGATGATTGGGACGATCTCACTGATGGCGAGTGGACCGCGCCTCTTATTGACAACCCCGAATACAAGGGAGAATGGTCCCCTAAAAAGATCCCGAATCCTGCCTACAAGGGTGAATGGGTACATCCACAGATTGACAATCCAGAATATCACGACGATCCTGAACTCTATGCCAGACACATTACGGCTGTAGGCCTTGATTTATGGCAAGTAAAGTCGGGCACAATCTTTGATAACTTTATCATCGCCACTGATGTCGAGGCTTGCAATAAGCATGCACAGTACTGGAAGAAACGGTTTGAATTTGAGAAGGAGGAGAAGGCAAAGGCCGATGAAGAGGCCAAGAAAAAGGCTAAGGAATCGGTAAGTTTCTAATTTTATATTTTTTAAAAAAATTCAAGGCACCTGAGTCCATGCCCGAGGATATGGATGAAGCAAAAGAAGATGAACATGAGACTGAGGAGAAAGAGAAAAAGCCAGAAGCGACCCCAGAAGAACCGCCCAAGAAACACGTCGAATTGTAAAAATGGACCTATTCACTTCTGTTGTCT